GATGCTCAACGCTTAACCGACCAAGGTAACACCGAATATTGATGATCACACCCAACTGACACTCAACATTGATGCTCAACGCTTAACCGACTCCCAATGTTGACGATCAACACTCAATATACACTCAATATTGACGGCGAACACTCAATTTTGATGGTAAACGCCCAAATTTGAGTGTTAACACCAAAAATGAGGGTTTTTTTTCGTAAGGGTGGAACGTCTCAACTCATTCTGAATTAGAAGAGTTTACAAAATTTTAATATTGTTAGAAAATAAATAATGCTCTTAAATCTTCTCTAAATTGTTTTTTTACGTAATTAGATTTCTTATTATTTTACATATTTCAATCATTGAAAAGTCTTGAACTCTTCTTTAACATTCTATATGCATGTATATGTTTACGCAGATCGGTTTAGTAGAACAATATGGTTACTCCGCCGAAGAGCATTATGTCACAACGGAAGATGGTTATAACTTAGTAATACACAGGATATCAGGCAGTCCTTTATTTAAGGGTCAACAGAGAAAAAAAGTTGTATTCTTCCAACATGGGACGATGATCTCATCTGATTTCTGGGTGTTGTTTGGTCCTGATAGAGACCTTGGTAAGTGATTATGAATATATGATGATTTGATTTTATTGAGTATGTTAATATCAAATTCTGAATTGTCATCTAAGTATTCTAAGTCATCTAAGAGGCAATAGAACTTTGAGCGAAACTTTTTTATATCTTTCATCTTTTGTTTACTCTAAGTCCGTATAAAATTTTTCACGGCATATAGAACGAATATTGTTCTTACTACAAGAGAAAAATTATTTCAATTATCATTTAACTATAATATGATCATATTTGATAAAATATTAATTTACCTCTAGTTATGACTTATTGTTAGTGGAATTAATTTTGTAACTAATTCGGTAATGTAATAAGAAAACTAATTACAGATTATTATCTTGTTTTATAGCATTCTTATTAGTTGATCAAGGATATGATGTATGGCTTGGAAATATCAGGGGAAATTCTTATAGTAGATCACATATCAAAATGTCTCCACGAGATAAGGACTTTTGGCAATTTAGGTAAAATTTATATGTACCATAAGTACTATTATAAAAAAATTATCTTTATTAATTTCAACATTTCGTTACTTAAAATAATTTACTTATATTAATCTTACTTTTTTATTTCTTATATTTTGCTTTATTCAGAAGCCAGTTTTCAACACTTTCAACTAAAATTTCTAATTAAAATCGATGTTTCCTTAATCAAAAATATAAAACTATAATTGCTATACAGTATGGACATATTATATGTATATGTTGCGTCTGTGAAGTTAGCACATTTTATTAATTTTTTATAAACAATAATATATATACATCTTAGAACATATTATGTTCTAAGATATATATTATATATATATATACATATACAGGATGTTTCAGAAATAGTTGGCCAAATTTTAAGAGCATATTCCACTCATTATAAGGATGAAAAAAAGTCATATAAACATGGGTTCGGAAATGCTTTGTTTCCAAGTTATAAACATTTTTTATTTATTTATACATCTATTTTCATTACCGAACTAAAGGTATTTTTAGCAAGGCATCGTCTTTGAAGAAACATTTGTTGATAAAGACGTTGAGCTTTTCTGCATGTTTCCATTAGCTCGCCCATACATGTAGTGGATATCTGCCAATTCTATGTTAGAATAAGCCATGTTGATGAATACCATTTTCACTTTTAAATGCTTAAATAAAGACTGATTCCATACAGACCTATCTAATAACCTTTTGTTTACTTTAGAAAGTAAATGGAAGTACAATTTAGGAAACGTCGAAGCGAGGCATAGTCGTCCGACGTAAATATGTGCAATGTAAATAAGAAATATTTATAACTAGGAAAAGAAGCGTTTTTGAACTCATATGTTTATATGATTTTTTTCATCTTTATAATGAGTGGCATATGCTCTTAAAGTTTGGCCAAATATTTCTGAAACACTCTGTATATATAGCTCCAGTAGCACTTTACATAATTCTAGCGTTCCTGATAAACATTAAAAATTGTTCTGCTTTTTTAACACAAAAAAATATTTTTAGTTTTAAGAATATATAAGAGCTATGGGAATGAAGAATTCGTTAGGAACAAGCTAGAACTATCGTACCGAAAATTATCAGCACGATACATTTCCATCGAGTGCCGAGCTGGCGGCAAAAATAAAAATTGTTTAAAAAATTTTTATAAGAACAACTTTTGAAAATGATTCACTCACGTGTGGAACTCGATCGAAACAAGTCAGAACTACTGCTAGCATCAAAAATTGTCAGCAGGACTCCTTTTCGTCGAATATCGTGCTATGGATATTTAAAACTATGTAAAAGTGATTAATTGTTGCATTTTTGTCTTGAAACGCTCCATAATTATGAAATTAACTTAAGATTAACGGAATACTTGACAGACCTAATATTTGACGGAATATAATACTTTAGAAGGAGATGTGCCATACTGAAAGCACGTGAAGTTATTTACGTCATTTTTAATTTTTATTTTTTTGTTATTAAAAATGCAGAACATTTTTTTATGTTTATCAAAATTAGTAAAACTATGAAAAGTGCTACTGAAACTATTATTGTTTTTAAAAATAAACAAAATGTCGTGCTATCTTCACAGACTCGTATACATATATGTTCTTATAGCTTCGTAAAAAGAAATTGAATTAAAAAATTAAATTAAGAAATTTGTAACAATTATTCAGTGTTGGTACAGCACTAAAAAGCTGATAAAAGAAGAAATAAAATATACTTACATTGTGTAGCTATCATGAGATGGGAACGAAAGACCTACCAGCTATGATCGATTATGTACTTAATTACACAAAACAAAAAAGCCTACGCTACATTGGTTATTCGATGGGAACTACTATGTTCTTCGTTTTACTATCCATGAGGCCCGAATACAATGCAAAAATAGAATTGGGAATCTGCCTTGCTCCAGTCGCTATTTGGAAAGAAATAGCTCCTCTATACCAATTTCTTCAAAGTCAAAAACAAATTATTAGGGTAAGAAAATATCAAAATTTTATTTTAAAAGAAATAAAGAAAAATATATTTTATATGAGTTCTACTTTAATATTATTCTTATAAAAGAATAAATTTTATTAGTAACGTTACTTTATTATCAATATAATAATAATAATAATTATAGAAATGATGTGTGTGTGTACAAGCTGTTAAATAAATAATTGATTTAAAAAAATATATTTTATAACATTATATATCTCACAACAAATTTTTAAATTAAAAAAAAATCTTTATTGTAAATATTAATATGCGATAATTTAATATTAAAAAATTTTTTAATTTAGATTGAAATGTTCAATTACATTGACATTACTAATAAATTATTTCTTGTGTACCTGTATCATTATAGCTTTTGCATTGTAATAATTG